TCTTCCTAAAAGGAGGCTTCAAATGTTCATACTAGTTCACATTAATCTTGTCAAAATTCAACACTATGATATTTTTGTGTCATCTCCTACTGCATACTGTTATTAACTGACTGAGCTAGAATGCTAATCTCCTACAATCTTTCTGTCCACTAAAGTTATCGTTACCATAAAGCGAGTGGAACACAAATGATGTTGGACGAGGAAATGAATGCTAATCATGAGGAATCCGAGCCAGAATCAGAATCATCAGAAGACCAAGAAGTTGTAAAATTGACTGAACCTTCAAAAAAACATTGTATACAACGTGGAAGGTTTGCTTGATAAGCTCAGAGAAATCAGTTGGCCTGATAATTTGGATTGGATTCACAAGCTTGATGTCAACAGGGAGGAGCAAGAAGATGTGGATGTGAGCGATGATTTGGCGAGGGATATCTCTTTCTACATGCAAGGGTTGGAGTGTGTCCGCCAAGCGTATCTGATGTTTCACTCTATGGGACATCCTTTTCTGAGGCCCTCGGATTATTTTGCAGATATGGTGAAGTCTGATGCACACATGGAGAAAATCAAAGGCGTAGTCTTGAAAGAGATGAAGAAGATTGAGGATGTTGAAGAGAAGAGGAAGGCGAGGGAGAACAAGAAGTTGGCGAAAGAAGTTAAGGCACAGAAGATGAAGGAAAAGGCTAAGCAGAAAAAGGATGTAGCAAAGGCAGCAGAGCGGATTTGATAAAGAGAGTGTTGGCGATCTTGATTTGGCTTTTGATGAAGATGGGGCGAGACCCCATCAAAGATCGAATAAGAAGAGGCCTAGTGTGTCTCCTGGAGATCGATCAGGAGGAAAGGCGACATTTGGTGGTAAAAAGGGGAAAGTGTCCGATAAAAAACGGAAGAGCAGGGAATTCAAGAACTCAAAGTTTGGCTTTGGTGGGAGAAAAGGTTTAAAGAAGCAGAACACTGCTGAAACGACCGACGATTTCAGAGGATTCAACTCATCTGCCACAAAGAAAAGGGTGAAGTAAAATAAGATGATTTAAGTTAATTCCTTTATAGACTTCCATATTGATCTGGGCCTTTCAGTCAGATTCTAGTCTTGCACTTTTCTGCAAGTTAATGGCCTCTTTGCCTACCTTCTATGTTCAATTTCTGCATTAGCTTGTAGTCATAGTTCTTTGATCCCATAAGGTCCTTAGTAGTATAAATCTTCTTCCAAGGAGAGTCTATATCCTTTTAGTCTGCCAAAAGTTTCTTATTTTCAATCCACCACTGCAAGGTTTGCATTTTTCTCACAGTTTCCATTAGTACTAGTCCTTTCACTTATGTTTGGACAAAGCCTGATAATGGAAACTGTCACTATAGCAATCAAAGAATCTAAGCTAAACTGAAATGTTCTAGGACGAATGTTCGTTGGTGGTGGCGAAAAAGTAGCTTGGTCATCGTCGCTTCCATTGTTGCGCGAAGCTTCATCCTCCGCAAGTTCAGCTAGCATTTCTTCGTAAGCTTCGTTTTTCTTTAGTTGTGATTCAACAAGTCCAAAATTTTTTTTTTTCGAACGGATCCAATCTCTGAAAAGTTGACCGCATTAACGAACTTGTTGAAAATTGATTATCGTTGAAGATTTCAATTCAACAACTTAGCAAGTATAGAAGAAAATTAGAGAAATTGTGATAGATTGATATTAATTTTGTAAGAAAAATGAAAGAATAAGGGAGTATTTATAATTAAAAATAAAGAAAAATATAATTATAAAAAAATTGGAATTAAACCAAAGTGGGGAGGGGGGGTAAATAGCTATTTTCTAAATAGCCAACAGCTATTTTGGGTTGCCCAGCAATTGTTTTTTGAAATAGCCAAAAAACAAACAATTTTAAAAAATTATCGGTATGACCGTTTGGCCCACCAAGGGACCGATCCGATCCAGTCCCTTGGCGGGTCAAACAGTCCAGGTCCTAACAATTCAAAAGCAAGAACCAGCCCACGAGACCAGCTCAAACCCACCTCTAGTAATCCTACCGGCCCACTTGGTCCGCGATCCCGAACTGGCCAACGTGCCACCCATATCCTCAATACTTCTTAGGTCATCATCTATCCCTTCTCGTACCCACCAAAACAAACCACTCATACCTCCTCAAGGCTTTTCCTCCGCATGTACTCAAACCATATAAGCATCGCTTCACGCATCTTGACATCCATAAGAGCCGCGTCCACCTTTTCCCGAATATCTTCGTTCCTAATCTTATATATTCTAGTGTACTCGTACATCCACCTCAACATACGCATCTCTTCTTAAGAGGCCAACACTTTACCCCATAAAAACATGACCAATCTAACCACCACTCTATAATGTGCCTAAATTTTCCTCCCAAGTTTTAAATCACATGACAAACTTGAAATATTTCATTGAATTGAATGATAGAAATACAATTTCTAAATAGATAGAACAAGATGCAAATGCTTGCATAAAGTTGTTACATAAACTCAATGTCTTCACCAACTTCAACATTGGCAAGCATTCACTTTTTGAAACAATGTCTGAATGCAAATAAATATATGATAACACCCTATGAATAATCAGTCCCCATAATCTACCTAAAGGGGGAAACACCATTTGATAGTTGCAGGTAATTTCACTTCCTTCATTGAGAAACTTCAATCTGTTCCGCGTGAGAAGGAAAGTTATCTGGCAATGACATTAATGGTTTTCCTTCAGAAGATCCCTTCATCGCCATGGCCAAAGAATAACCTAGAGCTCGGGCTACTGGAACAGCAACTGCATTACCTACTTGGATGTACCTGAGTAACATAAAACAACCAAAAGCATGTAACAACAAGCAAGGAAAATGATGTTTCAGGTACAAATGAACTAGTTCACTATCTCCATTCATAAGCAGCTTCTGGACAATAATTAGTAAATTCAAGAATAAAGGATGGTATAACCAAAGAGTAAGCACAATAGCCTTTATAAAAGGCTCCAGATACCAGCAGCTCATTAACACTGTTAGGAAAACTATGGCTCTGGCATGTTTCCATATTCATGTATTAGTTTAAGCTCAAACCAGATAGTATTCCAAGTGAGCATAAAAACATGTCAGCTTAGGTACCAGCTTTATAGGTGATATGGAGCATAGGAGGGAATTACTGAAAGAACTACTTAAAAGAAATCAGATCTGTACCCATACATTACATTAGGGTTAAAGTGATACCTTTCTTTGATTGGCCCTGTCAATTTATAGTAGTCAGGGAAACCTTGGAGCCTTGCATTTTCACGAATTGTAAGCACTCTATTCTGATGTGGATGTATTATGGTCTGGAAGGAATAACAATGGCATCAGGATGAGACTTAACACAATTCTATGGTTTGTGTCTTTGAGATAAGATGGGAAAGGTAAAAGCTACCTGATTATGGGGTTCAGCTCTCGTCACTACTGTTGGGACAGTTTCATCCCACCACAGACGACCAAATGGCCTGCATGATTTCACACCATGAAAATCGGTACAAATATTATGGAAAAGCAGATACAAATGCAAAGAAAATACCAAATAAGAAAGAAAAAGGTGTATCCTTACTTTGTGGAACTACCACCAACAAAGCTCATAGCATAGTCAGGGACCTGTTGATTTTAAGCATCATAAGATCCAGAAAAAAAAAACAGAGAACTGTCAGTCAAATTAAATCATACCAAAGGCTTCCCTGAAGGAAGTTTTACTCTCTCCACATCTGGATCCCATTCAACTTTATTATCAGAACGAACACGAACTCCAGGCAAATCTCTGAAGTTTGCACCCTAAAATCACAGGTCGATAATTCAGCACAGCGAAGAACGCATTCCATAAGTACAACAACTGGCCAGACAAACAATTTGTATACCTTCCGCTTGGGAATTTGACAAACACGCTGATAATCATCATCATTCAACTGCAGAGGACGATGATCATATAGAACACTTCCCAGCGCCCCTACAATATAGCAGAATCAAAATTTGAAAGCAGCTGAACCACTGTTTGATGTAATTGAATGACTGAACTGTATTAGCAAAATATTCATTAATGCAGAACCCATTTTCAGCTCAACCATAATTAGTACATGAGACTTCTCAAATGGAATTGGTGTTTTAACTGACACCCCTCAGGGGACCAAGCTGTTAAACTATGAGGTGTAACATGCAAAAAAAATGGAACAAACGGATTTACATTAAGCTACAAGCAAAATGTGGACTCACCATCCCTCCCCAATCTTATAAAATGCTGGAAATCAGACTTGGGCTCATTAGTGTAAATCATTTCATCTCTTTGCTCATTATTCTCCACCTGAGAAGAAAAGCTTGCACATAAACTAGAGGGAAAATGATGCTTAATATATGGTTAAGTAATCAGAGGTGGCTTACAAAAAAAAACTTTAATCTCTTACGTACCGAAGGAAGATCAGAAAGTGCATCACCAAGAAAAAGTTCTTTCTTTAACTCTAATTCCTGGCCTTCATCAAACGCAACTGTGTTTGACTGCATTCGCACATGGATGCACATTTAGTCAAATAGCAAACGCTACAACATTCATGGGATTATAACAAATTCAAAAACCTACCTCAAACTCCGTGGGAATAACACCCCTCACAATAACTTTATGTGTGGGCAAAGGATATTGTGGCAACTTCTGCACAACATGACAAGATTTAAGTAGACTGAGGTTGGTAGATTGATGCACTGCATTTCAAAATCAGTATTACCTCTGATGAAAGTGCACCCCACATAAAGACACGCATGCGAAACTGTGGAAGACCGTAAGCACCAGCTGCCATCATACCCATGCGGGCTTGGTAGTTCATCCCTACCAATCTGCCCAACGCATATCGCCCTAGGAAACCGTTGGAGAATTTAATAAGGTCTACCACGTTTTCCATTAGTACAAACCTAGGTTTCAAGAAATCCACTATGTCCATGAAGACATCAAGCTGTTGATTTTTTGGATCCTCCAGTGGATTTTCTTTATTCCTAAAACGGTTGAAACCACTGATGCCTTGGCATGGCGGTCCACCGCATATAACATCCACATCCCCCTACAAAAAGATGAATAGAAAAATGCAATCAATATGAGTCAGAATCACAAATCATTAACAAGTTGACAGCCTAGAAGTGGTTTAGAATTTGGAACCCAAAACTAGTTAGAAAGAGAGTAATGAAGCTTACAGGCAAAGGCAGAAGATTTGCTTTGAAGCCTTTGGTCACAAACTCTTTTATTTTCTTCGGGCATTCACTATAACAATATGCCAACTAGTTGGAAAGAATTTAAAGAAAAACATATGTTATTTTCAGAATAGACTGCTTCAAGAGTGTACCTTAAGCCATCTATTGGCTCCCAGGTGTCTTCCTCTGGGCCATAACCTTGCCAGTGAACCTATATACAAGGTAATTAAAGTAACTTGAGAACAATGACATGGGTCAGAAACACAGAACAAAACAAAGTTGACAACAGAAGACTTCAGCTTTTCCACAAAAGAAATCTGTAAATATTCTACCAAAGAAAATATGGTTGACAATGTGACATACCAAAAATTAAAGATTCCAAGCTCAATGGTTAAGTACCTTGAAGTAAAGTCCAGGTTTCTTAACTGCATTTGGATCTCCATAACAAACTTCTAAAAGTTCTTCAACCTCAAAATTTTCACCTCTTTTATCATCTCCAGAATCTTCACTTTCATCAGCATTTTCATCTTCTTCAACTTCATCAATTACTTTTAAATGAGGGTGTGGAGGAACACTGCTTTTTACCAAGGAACAAGAGCTGCAAAGCTGCATCCACTCCTTCAGAAGTGATAAGAAGTCACTGGCATACTCATTTCTCACCTGAATAGTGCATTCATTTTCTTCATTGACAGGCCACCAAGAAAATAGAGACATATTTATGTCCAATGAAAAATCTATACCTGAGTCTCTGGGTGGTTCAATCTCAAGCTGTCACAAGCAAAGCTGTTGAGGTCAACAGCCCATTTCTGCATCCAAGAACTTATATTAACAAAACAGACAACAGGACAGATGGTCTTATAAAGAAACAAAAATGCAAGCCACATTGTGCTGAAACAAATTGGTAAAATATAGAATAAACAAGCAGAAGGAAAGAACATACAGTAACAAGTTTAACACCGTTGCTATTAGCACCAAGGCATAGTCCAGTGGACATTGCCCCACATCCTGAATACAGATCCAAGAGCTTCTTTTCCAGATTGTGCTCTTTGACCTCACCAGCATCAGTGTCACTTGATATAGTCGAAGATGAACTAACTGGACTTGAAGAATCTACAAAGAATTACCATCTCCGTTATGCAAGTTTACGCTCGAATATTAATGTGAAAGGAACTGAGCTGTATTCAGCTATGTAAACGAGCAAACAAAGAAATACCAGGTGGCAAGCTCAAGAAAGATGAGTAGGGCAGCAGGTACATCATGTCATAGTAGAAATCACAATTTGATTTAGCATTTTCCTTGAACTGTAAAGTTGCCTGCAGGAGCATTCAGCATTCTTTAGTTCAACCACCCAATGCCAAGACATAGTATCCACCAATAAGGTAACAAAGACATACATTTGAAGGCACAGGAACAATCTTGAGTTTAATCACAAGGCAATCGATTGGGTTATCGTCCATGATTTCAGAAAGGAACACACGCTTCTTGTCAATGAACTGATCATGGCTTTTAATAACCTAACAGGATATATGATGTCAGACCATATAGCATCACAAAGAGGACAAGGAAACCTTTCATATGATAGAGTTGGCATTTCTTACAGTATCCTTAGCTCTGTAAAACCATTGAGCAGTAAAATACTGCATGCCATCAACTGCTTCAAAGAATTCTACAATCTTACAAATGTAATCCTCCTCACCATCAGCAGCCTAGTTACAAGAGAAATATTAGTCAATACATGAATCCATCATATGGTCATATGTATCATAATAAACTAAAACAAGCAATCAACCGGGCTAAAAACAAAGAAGGCTTTAATCCAATAATTTCACTGTTTAAACAAGCAGGTTCCACAGAGAAATTGAGGTCAAATGCAACACAGACAAACAGTGCCAAGTATAGACCTAAGCATTCTTTCTTTTCTGCTTTCTTTTCTTTCCATTTTTTTTATAAATAATCTATGCAATCTTTTTTTAACTTTCAAGTACTAATACTATTTTAATTCTTCCAATCAATCCCGAAGAGCAACAAAAAATTACAATGATTTGGTAAAAAATTGACATTCCTCCAAGCTTAAGGTACAGGGACAGCATTCAGCTCAAACCCTAAGGTATTATTTTCATTTTATGTCATTAAGACTACAAGCAACGTAGGCTAGCATGCTAATAGAATCAGACATTATTATGCCTGGAGACATATTCTAAAGAAGATTAAGAATACTGTAAAATAAAATGATTACCATGGCTTGTGAAAATAAACAAGACCAAACGAATTGTCTAATGATTGATTTATCAGGTTAACAATTTTTCACTGATGCCAAACCTCTTAAACCAATACTTTTCAGGTCTAAGACAAGAAATTAAGACTGTAATTCATTAATTATAAATTCAAATCTTTGAAATATTGTTAAGAGAAGTTCATACAAGCCACATACCTCAACTATTCCATTAAGTACTTGATACCTCCCAGGATAATGAGCAACTATAATATGATACTTCTCACACATGTAGTTCATAATAGAAAGGCATTCTTTCCTCTTTAAGATTTTCCTATCTATTTACACAAATATCTAAACCATTGTTTCAAAAGGCATTTTCGGGGCAAGACCAACCAAAAACGCCCCGGGGTGAAAGTCTCAAAAGGTGTACGCCCAGCAATTGGGGGTGTACGTCCGGACGTTCGAGGCACATTTGTTTAGTGAGGAGTAAGCCCCAGAGACTTTCTCAAATTAAAACAAAATTTATTGAATAAGTCATTCATATAATACCCAAATTCTCAAAAGTTAGTTTGGTAATTACTCAAAAGGTTTAAAAGGGAACTCAAAAGTATTAAATGTAAAAGTCAAAACCTAATTCATGATCTTTCCCAATTTTTTATCGTGTCCGCTAGTCTGCTAATATCTCACAAAAGCAACAAATATTTAATACTTTTTACAAATACAAAGAGAACTACATTCTACTTCATAAGAGCAAATTCAAAGTTAAAATTGGAGGATAATCATACTTTTTGATCTTTCATATAGAAAACTTTATTCTTTTAGACTCAAATTATGTGTGCTTGTAAATAGTGTATAATAGATTGTTTTGATTAGTGTTTTTTGTGGGGATGGAGCATATATATAGTTTTTTTCAATTTTTATGCAATTTTATTTGTTTATAAATATTTACTATCATTATATTATTTTATAAAATATTAAAAATTGAATACCTATGAGGCTTACACCCTGTGACTCGGGGTTTACAACCCGCTGAGGCATATGTAAAACGCATCACCTTAAGGTTGTATAGATTATAAAATAGCAGCAATCAAAATACAAATGTTGAACAATGCAAAAACAAAGATGGATGGAACTTTAGATTCATAAGAGACTTCGACAGTGGGAAATTCAAGTGACACAAGCTCTCAACTATCAAAGAAGGCTACTAAATTTGAATAATGAATCAGATACCATAATATGGCCAGTAAGTAAGAATAAGATATCTAATATTAAAAGCTGCTAAAGGAGTTTGATTCAGCTTGTACTAGCAACAAAGAAAATGTGCCTAGGAGAATACTGAAGAATGATCCATATAAAGTGGCTTGTATTTTTTGGAGGTACATATCAAGCAATGATTACGCAGCAGAATATGCAGGAAAGAGGATTCCTTATCTACAGCAGATGCTTATTATGTGAGAATGAAGTGGAGAATACAAGGCATATTTTCATTCGCCGTCCTGTTGCAGGCCAGCAATGGGACTTATTTTTCATTGTTATGGGTGTCATGTGGGACATACCTTCTTCAGTAAAACAACTCCTAGGTGGTTGGAAACTGACTGGATTGGAGGAAGAGAATGCTAAAGTAATTTGAAACGCAGTTTCTTCTTGCGTAATGTGAGTATTATGCTGGAAAGGAACAGCAACTGTTTTGGAAGGAAAGTTCGATCCATTCACAGCTTGATATCAAAGCATACAATAGTTGTAGGTTCAAGTCTCACAATAAGTCATTATTAAAAAATCACAAAATTACCTCAAATTAGGAGTGTATGTGAGAGGACATGTTGAAAACATGATTAAATACATAAAATGTGAAATTACTCAAAAAGTTTAAGCTTTAAGATAGATAGTCACAAAATTCAATAGGACTCCACAAAAAATACCCAAATTCTTATCAAATCCTTTAGAAACGGGTAAATCAACACAATGAAGGATTCACATAACATAGGCCAAGGTTACTTTTCACTACAATATTTTACCTTCACATGTGCATCATCCTCAAGACAATAAATCTGACCATCAACCGATGCTTGAGTAAAATGGCACTTAGCTTGAAGTTGCTGGTCTGAATCATCTTGACTGTAACATGAAATTACCAATATCACATACGCCAATCAAAATAAACAAAATTATTATGAGCCAAAAACAATGTTGTGGTGGACAGTTGTGCAAAACTTACCCATTTAAGCTCTTAGTACCATTTGCTTTCCCCCTATTCTGTTTTCAAAACAAAAAACAGTTAAGTATGTAAAAATAAATTAAACACTAAAAGGTTTTTGGAACTACTGTCTTTATTTCATTTTATATATCTTTATCTTTATAAATTATTTAAAAAAGAATGGCACTTTTTTAGATTTAAAAAAAAAACATCAAACTTTTCATTTTACTATTAATGAATGCTCACATACCCATAGGCATGTCACAACAAATTTAGGACCACAAGTTCTAAGAATACATTTGGTATGTGCCAAAAGTATTTTACTCTTACTCTGAACCCAATCAAACAACAGTGTGAGTATTTTCAACAGTATTAGGTCCACTTTACATGTACTGTTTCAGGTTTGAGATATAACGCATACACATTCTATATAAGTATTCAACTAAATGGTAAATAAGTAGTAACAAAAGAGATACCACTGATCACAACTTCAATTTGAGACATATCTTCAACTTTGAAATGCCTCATAATGTTTGAAGTATCCCTCCATACAGCTTTTGCAACTTTCCAGAACTCAAATACATTGAACGACCAGATTTAAAACTAAGATGTTGATGTTCTCTCACATACTTTTTTGTCAACAATGATTTCAATATTTTCATTCAAACTATCAAATTAAAACGGACAAACTATCAACTAGCCTCTTGAAACAGACAAATATAGTACTACTACAATAATTTGTTAGATGACACTTTTAATTCATGAATAAGATTTATGTGTCTACTTAACAATAATAACTATATCTCTATCTTAGACAAATTGGGTAGGCTATATGAATCATCGCAGACAATGTTTCTCCATTTAAACTTAATCACATACCAACATCTTACCAAATAAAAATAAAAGAAAATTAGTATTCCATCCGTTTCAATTTATATAGCATATTTATCTGATTAGTACATTCCAAAAAGAACAATATATTTTTATATTTAGAAAGAATTTAACTTTATACTTGTTATTTTATCCATTTTAAATTTTGATGAAGAGCTTTTATAGATACACAAATATAATGATACTACAAAGGTTTTAGCATTTAAGATTTTAAGATCATAAATTTTAAATGTTTTTTTCTTAAACGATATGTCAAGTAAAACTCAATCACATAAATTGAAACGAATAAAGTACTAATAATAATAGATAAAGGACCAAAATATAAGAGGATGCATGTGTATTTATATTAATGTGGACAAAAAATGAACAAGATAATTGCATTTCTTCAGAAACTTCAAAGGTGCCATCCAAATACAAGCATTTTGAAATACCAAAACCCCAATCAATTTTAAGCAGCACAATTTCATATATACGATACAAAACTATTAGAACATACATACTCTTTATATTTTAGAAAGAGTTTGACCATAGATTCCGAAATTTGTTTTGAAAAATATGATTTGGGTGAAGTTTGGTTTGAAGATGAAAATGTATTTTGGACATCAATTTTCAAAACATATTTCAATTTATTTATTTATTTATTTATGAAAAACATGAAACATAACTTATAAACACAAGTTATAAAAAATATAAGAGATACTAAACAGTAACTTAATCAATAAAATTGATTATATTATAGCAAATAATAGTCCTAAACATAAATAAATTAGGTACAAAATTATCATTTTTATACTGAACTACATAATAAAGTATTAGATGATTGAGAAGATGAATAAGCATTGTTACAAAATAATAAATGGTGGGTTATTTTATAAAATATAAAAGATTGGAGCAATTTTTTAAAAATGTAATAGTAATATTTTGTGACTAGTTTTGTGTTTTGAGAATTTTTCAAAATATGAATAAAATTTATGAACAAACTAGTATTTGCCAAAAAACAAATATTTTTTGGCAAAATTTATGGCCAAATGGGTACTTAATTTATGTGACACTTCTCGATGATTCAAACTATGTGAGCTTTGATCATCATTTAAAAATGCATTTATAATCATATTGGCGTGAAAAGAATTGCAACTTATAATTCTCTTTATATAATTTTAGAATATACAAATTTTAACTGTAAAATATTGAGTTAATATAATCTAATAGCTTTAAAATTATCGTTTGACTCTTCATAAGTGAAAATGATAACATAAATTGAAATAGATGGAGTAATTCTTATGCTAGAGTACCCAGATAAGCAAGAGTAAGCCCTGATGGAAAGAACTCATGTTAGCTTGAAGGAATTCAAGTTTTCAAAAAACTACAAAGCCCGTAGTAAAGAGCAGAAAATTCAAGCAAGAGCATCAATAGCTTAACTTTTTCCATTATCCTTTTGTCTATTTGAGCATCTAAAAAGTATCTATTTGCGATAAACAAGTTAACATAACACGCAACTTTCTGAATTCAAAGATATTCTACATTTTAGCAGCTAAAAGAATGTATTTCACAGTAAAAACAGATAAAAAACTTTTTTTTTTAAAAACGTTTCTTACATAGCGATGAGGCCACCTTTGACGAGCTTCTGCATCTGGAACAGGTTCACCGTAAAGTACACACTCTTCATCCTTTACATTCTCACCTCTCTTCGGCTTCCTTTTCGAAGGCGAAGCCGCTAAGCTCTTCTTCAAAGTCCCGTGCTCCGTCTCATCTACCTCTTCTATAAAATCACTCTCCACTGCACAATCCTCCACCTCTGGATCTGGATCTGGATCTGGCTCTGTCTTTTCAGCTACAAAAGAACCTGAATTTTCAACAGCTCGTCTCTTCGATTGAGAATCTACTGCTTCTTTTTCAGTTGTCCGTCTCGTAGATTTCTTCTTTGTTGACAAAACAGGTTCCGACTCTTCAAAATCACTATCAGCTGGTGGAGCTACTACTGGATCTGGCTTTGCTGCGAGTCTCTTCGATTTCCTGCTAGCCGATGAAGACTCCGGCTTTGACGCCGGAGAAGTAGCTTTACGTTTGCTCGGCATAAGTAAATGTAAGGATATTTGAAGAGAAGCAGTAGGTTAGGTCACAGCGGCGGCGCCGTGGGTACAGTGGCGGAGGATGGAGAGAGTGAGGAAGGGCAGAGTGTTGTTATTGGCTTTTAAACTTTTTTGGGACTTTGGGTAAATTTTGAAAAGTAGTGGGAAGAGGGAAAAAAAGGCGGGACTGGCGGAATTATTGGGCATTTTCGAAAGTGAATTTGAAATATGGCCTGAGTTCCGGAATTGAACGTTAGGGATAAAAACTTTATTTAGTAAGTAATTCTTTTTTGTGTTTATATATTTTATATTTATTACAAATTGAAATAGACATTACACTTTAAAATGTTTCCATAAGAAGAGAGGAAATTATGAAAAAAGTACCTTATTCATTGTTAATTTTGCTAATTTAGAAGAGGTACTCCTCATCTAGAAAATATTAATTATGTATTAACATGGTGAATAATTATGTTCATATATTTTATTTTTATTGCAAATTGAAATAGGCAATACCTTTCAAAATGTTTCCATAAAAGGAGACGAAATCTTCGAGAAAATACCTTATTCATTGTTAATTTAGAAAATATACTAATTTAGAGAAGGAACTACTTATAATGTATAGAAAATGTTAAGTTATGTATACGATGATGAATAATTATTCTCTACATCTAACCTTAAGTAATATTCCTACAATCAAATATTGGATGACATCATGTGAAATGTTTCATAATCAAATTTAGATCAGACATATTGCAAATTTGAATATTTATCGTATAATTACAGTAATTTCTCATGGTTCTCAATTGTTGCGTTGCTCGTACGGAATGGATTTAATTTACTTGATTAAAGAGTGAGTTATAATTTTTTATTCCTATGGTAAAATAACATGTATTTCCATTTTAATTTGTCACTTAAGTGTATTAAATAATATGGCTTAATACAAACATCGTGTATGAAGTTCTTTTTTTCTCTTGACATACTAACGCCATTTTGTGTTATGTCGTACTTAACTATTAGATAGACGAATGAATTTGATTGATCTAATTGGAATCAATTTCAGTAAACAATTCAGGAATGAAATATTGATATACCTATGATTCATGATATTGAGTAGAAATAAGAAAAGAAAAATAATTAATTCTTTTGAAATCTTTAATGTACTGGAATATTGAAATTATTAAGCAACTTGATTTATATGTCGTAAAAAAAAGGGAAGATTAATTTTTTCTTCAAAAACTATTAGTTACTCAAAGCGGATAGTTGTAAATCTAGATTCAAGTTACTATAAGCTTTTCTAATAATTTGTAACTTCGCTCAATCATTTTAGAGTGAGATTTTCAAGAACTGAGCTGAAATACGAGCTTCGAAACTCCTTAAATGAAGTTTCAACTCTTAGCGCAACAAAACTTTAATTTTCATATGGACACTCATCAATCGAGATTCAGTTTTCTAGCTCAAATTCGATACTTAAATGAAGCAAAAACTAACAAAATAAAACAAACACAATGATAGAAGAAGTTGGGATGCATTGAAGGAGAAAAGGGAAAAAACAAAATGTGGTAAATTTGAAAGACCTTTCGTTGGAACATTATGCTATTCGAAGACTTAGCGAGGTAGTTTGGGAAACATTTATTCGTATAAGGTGCAGATAGAGACAAAACTTAGATTGTAATTTTATGGGTTCTGAATTTTAGAACGATAGACTTCAAGTGTTAATAATAGGGCTCTAGTTTAATGTTTATACTCGATTAATAAATTTCTTCATACAAATTTACAAAAACTAGTGTGTTCTGTCAAATTCGTAGTCGGCCTAGTTGCGCCCTAGTAGCAGCGTGTAGGTTAGAAGTGGTCTTTAATGTTGCCCTAAGGAATGAAAAGGAATTTCGAGGATGATCTTGGTAAATTGTCATTTTTTAGGTCGACTATTAGAGTTTAGCCATATTTTTTAAACTGTATTGGGAAAGTAGCCACTTATTAATGCGAAAATACAAGTTTGAACAAAAATAGCCCTATCTAAAACATGAAACAACTTCATGGACGATTGCTGAATTTTGAATGCTTGTAAGTTTAAAATTCATGTATTGTTTATGGAGATTGAATGGCCTGAAGTAGTTGCTCTCAATTGTTGACGTATATAAATTCAAATTTTATGAATCATCGTATATTTTTCTAGATTTTGCATTAGTAAAAGTTCAAAAATCAGCAAAAAACAAATATGTTGGATATTGTATTTAGAAGTTAAAAATTGTTGAAGTATAATGTAAATTCAAAAATCATGAATCATTCCTTATCTGTTCTGGATTTTGCATTAGTAAAAGTTCAAAAACATACGTTGCTTCAATACCAAATTTAAAATGTCAAATATTTCATATTAATAATATTTAAATTTA